TCACCCACACTTGGATTGTGTCTTTTAATCCGGTAGATGTGAAATGGTATTTTAAAATTATTTTGTAAATTGGGTTTTAAAATTAGCACTTTGGGGCCGGCCCCGTGGCTTAGCGGTTAAGTGCACGTGCTCCACTACTGGTGGCCCGGGTTCGGATCCCGGGCGCGCACCAATGCACGGCTTGTCCGGCCATGCTGAGGCCGCGTCCCACATACAGCAACTATGGCATACAACTATCTACTGGGGCTTTGGGGAAAAAAAAGGAGGAGGATTGGCAATAGATGTTAGCTCAGAGCCGGTCTTTCTCAGCAAAAAGAGGAGGATTAGCATGGATGTTAGCTCAGGGCTGATCTTCCTCACACACACACACACACACACACACACACACACACACAAAATTAGCACTTTGATTACAGGTGGGGATGAGCACTTTCCGTATTTATTGGGCAATCCTGTTTGTTATTCTGAGAGTCTTTGTCCTTTACATTAAAAAAATTTTTTTTAACCAGGTAATCCATCTACATGAGTCAAACCCCAAAAGGGAATACAGTGCAAGTCTCCCACCTCTGTCTGTAGCTCACCATCTCCCCGCTCTGTGACGTGTTAGAGGTTCTTGTGTACTTTTTCAGTTTTAATTGCCATTGTCTTTTTCTTGTTGAAAGTTAAAAAAATATGTTAAATAATCTTTTGTAGGTTATATTCGTTACATATAGCTCTGGATTGTCTTAACTTTATTAATAATGCCATTTTCCATAGAGAAGTTTTAACTTTAATGTTGTCAGATTTGCCAGTCTTTTGTGCTTTCTGTGTCTTTTTCAAGAAATCCTTTCCTACTCTCATATTATACATATATATTTTAATATATTTTCTTTTACATTGAAGTTTTGCTTCCCACACTTGCATTTTAAATTCACCTGGGATGCATTTTCTTTATATGACACTGGTTCTCAACCCTGGCTACATATGAAAGCCTCATGAAGAGCTTTAAAAAAAAAGTACTGATGTCTGAGCCTCACCTCAGATCAGACCAATAAAATTGAAACGTCTTGGGGTGGCGTCCAGGGATGGTTATGAAATGGCCCAGGTGACTTTTATGTACAGCCGAGATTGAGAACCACTCAACCTTGTAAGATGGAACTGATTTTACTTTTTCCAGAGGAATAGCCAATTTTTCCAGTACTAGTTATTGAATAGTCTATACTTTCCTGCTCACTTGTTACTTTTGAGATTTGATTGATTGATAACTTTATTGAAATATATTTCACATATCTTAAAATTCACCCATGTAAAGTGGTTTTTAGTGTATTCACAGAGTTGTGCAACACCCCCAAAAGAAACCCTATCTGTATTAGCAGTCATTGCCCATATCCCCCCATCCCCAGGTAACCACTAGTTTTCTATCTCTATGGATTTGGCTATTCTAGATATTTCACATAAATGAGTTCATACAATATATAGTCTGTTATGACTAGCTTCTTTTAGTTAGTATAATATTTTCAAGGGTCATCCGTGTTGTGTCATGTTATTAGCTCTTCATTCTTTTTTTTAATTGCCAAATAATATTCCATTTTATGGATATACTACATTTTGTTTATTCATTCATCAGTTGATGGACATTTGAGCTGTTTCCACTTTTTGACTATTATGAATAATACTGCTGTGAACAGTTGTGTACAACTTTTTGTGTGGACATATGTTTTCAGTTCACTTAGGTAACCTAGGAGTAGAATTGCTGGGTTATGTGGTAACTATATGTTTAACTTTTTGAGGAATTGCTAAATTGTTTTTCAAATAGGCTGCACTCTTTTACATTCTTACCAGCAATGTACAGCGTTCTAATTTCTCCACATCCTCACCAACACTTGTTATTGGACATTATTTTGATTTTAGCTGTCGTAGTGGGTATGAAGTGGTATTAATTATGGCTTTGATTTGCATTTCCTTATGATTAATGATGTTGAGCATCTTTTCATGTGCTTGTTGGCCATTTGTATATCTTCTTTGGAGAAATGTTTATTCAAATCTTTGCCCATTTTTAAATCAGATTATTTGTTTTTTTACAGTTGAGTTGTAAGGGTTCTTTATAGATTCTGGATACAAGTCCATTGTCAGATATATATTTACAAATATTTTCTCCCACTCTGTGATTTGTCTTTTCATTTTCTTGTTAGTGCCTTTTGAAACACAAAAGTTTTTAATTTTTTTTTTTTGGTGAGGAAGATCAGCCCTGAGCTAACATCCATGCCATTCCTCCTCTTTTTGCTGAGGAAGACTGGCCCTGAGCTAACATCCATGCCAATCTTCCTCCACTTTATGTGGGACGCTGCCTCAGCATGGCCTTTAATATATTCTTTTTTGTCATTGGCGTTACGCGTTTATACTATGTGTGATGTGTCTAAATGTGGAATTCTTTTTTTTTTTGGTGAGGAAGCTTGGCCCTGAGCTAACTTCTGTGCCTGTCTGCCTCTATTTTTTATGTGGGTCGCTGCCACAGCATGGCTTGATGAGTGGTGTAGGTCCATGCCTGGCATCTGAACCCGCAAACCCTGGGCTGCTGAAGCGGAGTGTGCCGAACCTAACCACTCCACCACCAGGCCGGCACCCTAAATGTGGACTTCTTTTAAATTTAACTTGTTGTGTGCCTTCAATCTGAGGATAAATATCTATCTTCAGTTCTGGAAAGTGCATATGCGTTCTATCCTTGAAAATTGCAGCTCCCCCATTCTTTCCTTTTTCTTCTTTGGGAATCCGTGGACCTCTATGTCTGTTAATGTTCATATTTTCTATCTTATCTCTGCACTGAATTCAGGACAATTTCCTTGCCCCCGCCCCATTTCACTAATTCTCTCCTTAGCAGTGTTAAATTTTCTGCTTAACCTACCTGTTGAGTTTTAAATTTCAATATCATATATTTCGTTTCCATTTAGTGCCTTTTCAAAGTCTTTTTCAGATTTTTCTTTTATTTCTAGCTCTTAGAGTACCAATTCGTTCCATCTCCTGGGTCCCTTGTGATGGTTTGTTTTCTTGTGTGGTTTGTAATTTTTATGCTGAGCTCCTCTTTAGTGTTGCAAAGAGTGGGATGCTTAAAAGCAAGATATTTTGGGAGTCTGCGCTTATCGGTGATGATGAGGTCTAGGGCATATCAAATGTGTGGGCGGGTGGCTGAGGTGGGGTAGAGGAAAAGATTGTTGGAAGGCTCCTCCCCCAGAGCTTGGCACGTCTGGCTGCTTCTTATCATACAGGTTTCAGCTCGAGTCACCTCCTCAGAGCCTTCTCAGGCCTCCCTGCCTAAAGAAGTCCCCATCCCCCAGTCCCACTCTCTTTTCCCTGCTTTATCTGCCTCATAACGCTTAATCACTATTCAGAAATCTGTTAGCTATCTGTCTACCTTTGTGGCCTTCTTCCCCACAGGAATGTAAGCTCTATGAGAGCAAGGATTTGTCTTATTCATTGCTGTGTCCCCAGCACCTGGTATATGGTTTATACCGCCAATAAATAGGAGTTTGAGTAGTCCTCTTTTCGGACAGGAAGTCATCTCAGCCCCGATTCTGCAGTTTTCAGCTGGGCTAGGACTGACTGACCAGGCAGCAGAGAAAAGGTGAACATTGGCTCTCTGTTCCAAAACCTTTTTCTGTGCCTCCACTGGGAGGTCTTTTTCTCCCATCATAAGAGCCCAGGAAATACCATCCATCCTGTGTGCTTCAGCCTTCTTCTGGCATGTGTCTCCACGGCTAGGAGTAGGGATTTGAGTGCCAGAAGACCTTGGGGGAAGAAAGGGCACAAAACCCCAGGAAGCTCTGGTCCTTACCTTTAGAAGGCTGTGATTGAATTAAGAAGACCAAGCCTTCACAGAAAACAGTTTAGGATACTTACCACTTAGTTTAGGATACTTGCACCTCTCTGAGCCACTGTGCAGATTAGTACCCCCCACGGTGAGAACGGGTGGGTGGAGAAGGGTAGCCTGTGCCCTGGTCCCCGCCCCCCCACCCCGAGTCATCTTCTGGGGTCACATAAGCAGTTTCTGGAGGCATCTATGGGCGAGTTATAAATTCCCAAGTGACTCCATTTTGGCCTCTTTCTGAGGCTGCCCTTCAGTGTAGGAACTCGTTCTGAGCAAAGTGTTACTTGTAAAAGGGCAAAAAGTGCCCAAGGGCATTCCCACGAGGTGGGCTGAGGGATGGCACCTTTCCCTTCCATCTTTGGCTGCATCTCTTGGGCCCCGTGGAGCCGGCGTTGGAGAATGGTGAGGAATACGGGGATCGTGGATTCCAGCAAACCCTGGCTTTCCCTCTCACCTCACACTGTACAGCCCTGGGCGAGTGAGTACGTAGCTCTGGATTGTAGGGTTGTTGTGAGGAGATCACACAGAGAATGTGTTTAGCACAATGTCTGGTACTCCCCAATAGAATGCTGGTTTCTATTATTCCAGTCTGGCATCTTGGGAGCCACTTGTACCTCAGTTTCCTGATCTGTAAAAACACAGATAATAATATCTGACCCCCACTTGTCCCCCACCCCGGCTGTTGTAAGGGCCGAAGGGTTAATATCCTCAGGCGTTGAGGGCCTGGGCAGGGGGAGGAGCGCATAAATGGAGTATTGTTGTGCTGGTGAATGATCTGCCTTTGTTCTTGTGTCTTCAGTATTTGACTTCCTGCAGTTAGTGTCCCCTGTGCTTAATTGCTGGAGATATTTGCATGTCCTTGGCAGTGTGGCGCTCACCCTCGGGGCTGTGGTCTGGGTCCTCACCCAGCTGCGACTTGCTGAGTTGGGGTGGGAAGCTGCATTTCCTCTGTTAGGGATCCCCCAGAATTCAGGAATGAAAGCAATGCAGAAAGTATGACCCACACGCGGAACTGGTTCTGAATAGGACGTTTATTGAAGAGGTTTTGCAGGAGGCGGCGGGCGCTTTAATTCCCGAGGCTGTTGGTGGCTGCTCGCTGCTCGCCTCGAGCCTGTTAACTGCTCGGCTGCCGGGACCCGTGCTTGGGGAGCATGCAGCTCCCGGGCCCCACGCCGCCCTCTCTGTGCTCGGATGGGAGCCCTTTTGAGGAAAGCGGTAGGTACCCGGCTGGGGCCAGGCTGGGGGGTACAAGTGGGGCATGCCCAGGACTCTCAACTCCGGGCCTGAAGCCTTGCCCAAGTCCCCCGTGAAACCTGGTCAGCCACAGGCTTTGGGGCAAAAGGTAGGTTTTTCCCTTGGGGGTTCAGAAACTGAGACCCACATAGGTTCAGGTGTGGGAGGGCTGGTCCTTTTTATGCTGTGCTGGCTTCTCCTAGTGGGTTTGTCCAGTGTGGCTGGGTAAGAGCAAGACAATCCTGTGCTTCTTTTGGAGGTGACCGCAAATGGTTCAGTAGGGGACTTGGGAGAGTCTTCTGATCTCTGAGCATTCAGGGTTGGGTGGTTAGAGAAGGGGCCGCTCCTGGAGGGACCCAGCACACACTCTGGGAAAAGCAGGGTTAATCTCCCACTTCTTCCTGAAGTTTCCTTTTCCCAGAATCCACCTAGTGTTGTTAATTTGGATAAAATCAAGTAGTGGCAGGTGGAGCAGGTGAAAGGAAGTCCTCTCCACCCTGTCTCATCCCTGATGGACACAGCCGGGCAGGGGCAGTGCCCACTACTTCGGAGCTCTGAGCACAGGAGCAGGGAGGCCAAGGGCAGACTGCCACCCTGATGCGGCTGCCTCGCAACCTTGAGTCAAGGCCTTGCTTTTCCAGGAGTGGGACTCTGCTGCCTGGGGTGTGCCACTCCATGCCATGTACACCCCTCGCCCCAGAATCTGGGGTTTGGTGACAGCTGTCCGTCCCGTGTGCGTGCTCATCTGTGTAACCTCTCAGCTGAGGGAAGAAGCTCCTCTCCTCTCACGTGGGGACTGGTTGGATGAGTTTCTTGGGCCTCCCTGATTGAGACTCCTTAAGAGGGAAGGCAAGTGACCTGGGGGTGGGGGCAGGTGCGTGGGGTGGACAGGGGTCCCTGGGCTCTGTGGGATAGGGATCCGTGAGGGCACGTGCGTGAGGCCCTGCCCTCTCAAGGGCTGGCTGCCTGCCTTGGAGAATTGACCTTCTTGTGTGAGTCTGTAAGGTCTGTCTTGGAAAAGCCACTTTCCTCACTTTCATGGGTCAGGTGCCAGGCCCAAGGTCAGCGTCCAGGGCAAAGAGGGGGTGTTGGTTGGAGCTCTTCTCTTGCTGTAGTGCCCAAGGAATGGGGAAGGGCGGGGTGGCTGGACCTATCGCAGCAGTTCACAAAGTGGGGGGGGCGGGGAGCTGCTGGAATTTACGTACTTTACTGAGTCTGGATGCTCATGCGTGGAATTAGAAAGTTGTGTTTGGGGGAGCTGCCCTGCTGGCAGCCTTGCCCCCCAATTCCAAATTGCTTGGGGGAAGGAGAGTGGGAATTGGAGGAGGGAAAAGTCCTCAGGTGGTAAGATGTACACTGACCCCTCCCCCAACCCCTTTGGGATCTACTGTTCTGGAATCCCAATGGGAGATTCCCTTCCCGTTAAGCTCTCGTATCTCAGTTTTCTAGAGAAAGTGTTCTCTTCCTGCTTTTAGAAGCATTTAATTTACGTGTACCTTCATATCTCCACCTTTGGGGCCTCATTTCTTCCCCCTTCATATGGTTGGAATAGATCTCATTCTTCTTTCTAGCATATGCTCCCTAGGTCTCTCTTTCTCCTTGAAGCTCTCTATGAACAGTTAGCACCTTCTTGGGCCTCTGGATTCTTATGGAACACTCTTTGGCTATGTGGACACCTGTGGCCATAGCCCTGCACGGTGGTTTGTACCTTTTTAGGGCACATTCTCATACCTTGTCTCATAGAGCCCCATCTCTACCTGTCTCGGTAATTGTTCTTCCAGGCTTGGCTTGGGAGTGCCCTTTCCCACAAAGCCATTGCCGATTCCTTCCATCTGTCCTCTGCCTGCCTTCCCGCTTGGCCTCTTGCTGCCAGACGCCCCAGGTCCAGGCCCTTTCAGGACTCAACTTTCCTATGCTGCTGTCTTTGCATCAAATGCCCTCAGATGTCTTCTTCACCTGGCAAAAACTTACTTGTCATTGAAGACTCAGCTAAAATGTCACCTGCTTTAAAGCTGTCCCGATCCCCCAGGTAGCACTAGCTATTCCCTCTTCTGTTAGCGCAGTTTATGTGTTCCTACTTCTGTAGCAGCACCCAAGGCGTTGCTTTGTGAATAATGTTTATATGGCTGCTTTTCCTTCTAGAATTCAATTCCTCAAAGACAGAGACAATGTCTTAGTCATTTCAGTATCCCCGGGACCTAGCATCATGCTCAGAAGTGTTGAATGAATTCCCAAACTGGAGGCAATCTTGAACTCCCATGCTGCTCATGACACCGCTCCCCGCACACCACTCTCCACCTGCTTTTGTTACTGCTGCACTTGTCTCTCCTGATAGAATATCAGCTCTTGGGAGTGGGCTCTGTGTGTGATGCATCTTTGTATCTCCCACAAGGCTGCCACAACGCCTTTGTGCAAACTATGTGCTTGCAAATACTTGTCCAGTGAATTCTGAAGCTCACAACTTAGGTCGGAAGGGCAAGTAGTGTTATTCCTGAGTGAGAGGGTAGACACTGTGGCCCGAATTTGTCACTGCCTTGTTCCTTATCATCCAGCGAGTTAGGAGCAGAGCTAGGGCTGGTTTTGAGCAGTGCTTCTGGAGTCCCTGGGCTCATTCGTACACATTCTGCTGCTTCCCTCTCTTTGATAGTCCTAGTGGACCTAGGAAATGGGCGACCCCCACGGCTTTTCCTTGCATCTTTATGTTATGTCCTGGCTCTCCCACATGTCCATCCTGAAGCTGGATTTTGTTTTTTTCTTTAAAACCCAAGGACCAGTGTCAAGGATGGTTTTTATTAATCACTTGTTTGTGCTTTTGCTGCCTCACATTGCCTTAAATTCTGCTCCTGCTCAAGCCTATTGTCCTCCATGGCTCTGTTCTTCTCCAGCTCCTAGCAGTACATGCTGTCTCCCTCTGTGGAACCCTGAGGAATGCACCCTGCCTGCTATAGCAAAGGGCTCTGACTCATTTATACTTCATCTTCCAGTTTGACCTTCTGTTGGGCATGGATATCAGACTGTTTTTCCTTTCCAGCTGAATTGCTTTATATTTCCCTTATAAGATCAAGCTCCAAATCAATGTTGGGATCATGGGGGTGGGTTAGATCATGTTGGGTCACCAAGTTTAACACATCTTTATTTTGAGAGATGGGTCAAAATTTTAGGCACAAATCAGAAAGATCTCTTGTCCTGGTGCTTGTGGAACAAATAATAATTTACCCATCTTCATCATTGCTACTATTTATGGTGGGCTTACTGTGTGTCACATGTTGTACAAATTCTCTATTTGTGCCATCTCAATCTTGGAGACCAGTGAGGTTGGTACTGTTGTGCTTATTTTGCAGATGAGGAACTTGAAGCTTGGTGAGATCAAGTGACTTGCCCAAGGCAACACACAGCTGGTAAAGTGGGAGAGTGGGGGTTCAAACCAAGTCTACCTGAGGCCAAAGACTGTGAATCCATTTAGCGCATTTAACCTCTGCTCCATGGACTCCCGTGCACACACGTGCTTGCACATTCTCTCCTTCTCTGCTGAGAACTCAGAGGGACCTAATGGGGCCCCTCTTTCCCAGCTGGTTCCTGCTGAGATTCTCCAGTGCCTTTGAACCTGATGCAGTAGTAAATGCTGCAACTCTGGAAAATGTGTTTCCTCCCCACCTAATCCCAGCCTAACTTAAAACAGGCAGTCCCTACAGTGAGGATGGGGGCAGCAAGATGGTTAATTTGCAGGGCTGGGTCCCTGAATTTTGCTGATAAGGAGCAGTGATCCTTTGAGCCTCTTTGACCTAGAGATGAGATAGGTGGGGCCTCTGGGAACATTGGATCTGTCTGTGATTTCTAGCACTGTCTTTAGCTGCTCCATCTTCTAGGGATGTTGTGTCATTTCCCTGCTTAGTGACAAGTTGTGCTGGGAGCCAAGTTGACCTCCCCTGGCTGTGAGCAATCGCAATTTCTAATCAACAGTAATTGCTCTCATTTGCCTGTGTGTTTTTGTGGAACCTCCTGGTGGACTGCTTTTCCTGGGATATTTGTAGGGGGACCGTATTGCTGTCCCTTCTCCAAACTCCGAAGGGGTCCCTTGGCCACTTTCCCCTTCCTCCTAGTTTTTGTGTCTGGTCACTATGTAGCATGGTAGGGCGGCTCTGCCCCTGCTCTAGTCCCTTGTTTGGGGCCAAGTAGGATGGGACTGACTGCTGGGGTGCGTGAGCAGTCACTGCTCCTGGGTGCCTCTTGGCTAATTGGAAAGTTGCTGGCAGTGACTAATGTGGAAACTCATTAGTCTAGGAGGAACCAGCTCAGGTCTTTTTTTTTTTTTTTTTTT